AAAAGTTAAACTGTGTTGGGTTATAATATGCCAACAGAACACTTTCAACGTTCCATGGGTTTGCACACATTTTGCCTAAAATTCCTGACAACTGTAGTCCCGGGAGATATTTAAAGCAACTTAAAGGTTCCCTCAGACTGCTGGTTGTCAATGTCACCACACATCATCAGCGTACACCTGTTGTGTGCTTTCATCTATAACTCAGTGGATGTGCTGAAGAACAATGAATTAAACATTGTTTTGTTTAAGTTTGGCTGTAATAAAATGATATTTGATCAAAAATATTCAGGGCTGTCACGAAAAAAAAAAAAGGATTTCTCCAAAAACGGGACGGTGGTAGAGATAAAAGAAAAGAACTCAAAGATGAAAAATAGTAAAAATAGTAAAGGGCATGAATGATTGTCTGCGTCTCGGAAACTCTACAGGAGAGATGGAATACCTTATAAAAAGATATTCCCCCTTATCTGTTGCTTTTACGATGACGGCGCAACCGCTGTCCACTACATGTTCAGCAGGGATGAGATCTGGAGATCGCAAATGCCACAGCAAACGACTCACATCATTTTCATTACATCACAGTAGAGACCAGAACAGAAATGCTTTATCACAGTATTAAGGTGAACACTCAGATCAACTTTATTGATTTGCAGTGACTCTTCACTCCAAGGAGACAAGTGAGCAAAATCCATTTGGAAAAATGATTCTCACAGCAATAACAGAGCCACTGCATAACCCTCATCGCAAGGGTCAAGGGCTCAGGTTTCTCTTTTAATTTGCCCCGCCCCCTGTCTACAGACAAGTAAATAATGGCGAGTTTCAAGGCAGTTTCACCTCCAGACTGCTCAGGTCGGACAGAGGCGGTACACTCACTAATTGTTTTTGCACACAGTCTGTCACTTTACAAAAGTGTTTTGAGACTGAGTAATTTCCACACAGACAACCTTCATCAGTCGGAGGAGGAGACTGAACAACCCGAACAATTTTTCTGTGTATGACTATTTGGTGTTCGTACCTAATTCATATCTAAACAGCCTATATGAATTCGCACATTTCTGTACAAAACTGCAGCGTGCCTTCTTCAGCTATAAATGCTGAATACATACAAACTGTCCAGCTAGCATACAGCCGATGGTTTAACTTGACAGTGCAATCAAAAGGGGCCAAAAGATTCAAATTTCAAAGCCAACAATCATTTTAATGCAACAGTTCTACATTTAGTTTTGGTCCCCTATCTTTTCTAATTGAAAGTGTAGTCAAGGAGCACTACAGGAAGAAAAAATGAATGAAACTAAACAGAATCAGCAACCCTGTCCCTGTGATTTGTCACAGTAACGCCCCACTGCTGTGTATTCACCATGTTTAGCTCTCACTCTGAAAGCGCTTGTTGTGCTCATGTGAAAGCATTGCCCGTGTTGCTGAGTAACAGACAAGTGTCAAAGCCACCGAGGAAAGCTGATGTGTGTGTGTCAGGGTCAAATTCCATCGTCAGACTCCAGCCTGCGAGAGCTAATTATCAGCTGCCATCTCAGGCTAAACACATGAAGTCGTGCTCTGAGCAACACAAGGAAAAATGTTCATATCTCCGAGGAGACATCAATGCTGGACCTGTGTGGGGTTTCACATGATCGGCACACAAAACTCTGACTGCAAATAGCAACGTAACCTGAATCATTCAGAGAGGACATCAAACAGATCGCTGTCCCGAAACAACAACGCTGGTCATTCTGCCTCCAGCAGTCACTGAGACATGATACCGTGAGCCTCCTGGGCTCAGATACTGCTTCCATTATTGCATGTCTCTCTCTCACACACACACACACACACACACACACACACACACACACACACACACACACACACACACACACACACACACACACACACACAATCTTTGACAGTCTCCATGACAACCAGTCTGCAGCTCTACAGCTACTCTGAGTTCCCTTTTGTCTCCAAAGACTGGGGAGATAAGGGAAAAAGAGGAAGGAGGGCTAACTGGAGGCTGGAGGATACATAAATAAAACATGAGGGGAGAACTCTTCAACTCCCCAACCACAGACAATTTCACAGAGCAACACATGGAGATATAACGAAGGGCAGGGTGGTCGCACATAGTTTAAAAAGACACGCTCTAATTGGACAAATCCATTCACAGCAGTTCTCGCTGTGTAATAAAAAAAACCCCCAGAGATGCAAAGAATTACGTTACTGAGCTCGCTGCAACCCAACCTGTAACGGGTGGATCAATAAAAACAGCTCTCTTTCTCCTGACACACTTCAGCCATTATGGCAGCAAAGCTCAACGCACTGTGATTGCAATTATGCCGCGGCACACTCGAGCCAATGCAGGCTATTCGTACCCTTCGCTGTAAATACAAGCGCGGCCAGTTGCCACACATCAGCTACCAGAGGGGCCGTGGAGGTTAACGGTGGTTATTACAGCGGAGTTATTTGCATGCATCCATAGAAACCCTCTGTGCCGATTTGGCTGCCAGATATCGCATGTCTCCCTGAGCTGCTATGAATACTGTCGCAGCCAACCCCAAGAGTGTTTCAAAAGAGGACTCACTCTGGAATTTACGCAGATTGATCAATCCATGGTCTCGGATTATCCTGAAAGAAACAAAGACATGGATGTAGACATTTATTTTCTGACTTACGCTACACTTTGGAAAGTTAAAAATACAGTATATATCAACTATATGATCATTTTGAGGGCTGTAGTTTGGTGTGCTCGTGTCCATCACATTACATCATAATGAGGTTCTGCATTACAGCCCACAAACGACATTCTCCAAACTGATCCTCGAGCTGAATCAATCCTCTGCAAAGTAATCTGCAACAAAAACTGAGCATGCTGATCTTTGTGAAGACGTCCAAGCTGCACTGCACCCAACAAACTGGACACTGAGTGCATCGACATTACGCATTAATACACTGAAGCTTTTAATAACAAGCAGAAATAACTTACCATGTTAATTAAATTAGGAACAATAACATTTACAATTACTTACAGAAAATGAATTTAATGACTTATAACAGTATAAAAGCAATAAATGTGACACATTCAGGAGATTCCTACTTTCACGTCTGAGTTTCACAACATCTTTTTCAACCACATACAGAAACACTTTAAAACCAACAGCCCTGTTGATAAATGAAGGAGGAATATTTAGGACGCCTGGAAATTAAGCTCAAGGCTTTTCATGACTATTTAAAGGCCTGTTTTGAGGGGAATAAAATAAATGGCCTTTAGGCCCTCAAAAACTGCAATTATGCTAAAAAGTGTGCTTTAAGGTTCAGCTCAACTTCTGATCTTAAAAGCCTTTCTGACAAACTACAAGTTAGCAGAGATAAAACCGGGTCTCAGGGACAGATGAGGGAGCTGTAAAACACTCATTCCCTCCTAGTCAGACATGCCATTCCAAGCGTGCTCAGGGAGCATGAAGTCGTTAAAAGTTGATTTAGTGATGGATACGCTGCAGCAACGCTTGTCCGTGTATGTCCAAGAATGACAGCTAATGTGTTAAAGGCAGATTAATATCCTTAGAAACCTTTAAAATTGACTTCAATTTCTTATTACATCAGCTGACTATCAGAATACAGAAAAATAGTCATTGTGATTTCCTGCAGCCCACAGTGACTTGAATTTGAGGGCTTTCCAGTACCCAATGATAACCACCAGTTGCCATTTTATTAGGTACAATGGGTTTTACTGTTTACTGTTTTAACTGCTGCTACATATGCAACATTATCTATATTTTTCTACCCACCAAACTTAACTCAATAAATGTGAGATACATACAACAGAATTGAGTATTACTGGGATTTACAGTGGACTGTGAGACGAGCGTGAGCTGGGGGTGTGATCCCGGTAGCCTCTCTGATTAGCTACAAGTAAACTGTGCACAGTACATTTTCTATGAGCTTCAAAACATTTTCCAAACTCTCCTCTGGTGAGAATGCTCTCCATGCCCAACTAAAACTGGGCAAAATGTCAAGCAGCTTGGCATGCACGTCGTTCACTGGGGGGACAGACACATTTTCCCAATTTCCAAAAATATATTCAGGGTTTGAATAGAAGTTCCCGCAGCTTGTAAGTTGCACCTGAATGACTCCCTGCGGCTTGTAATGAGAGCCTGAAAAAGGCTTAAATATGCAATTATAAGCACGCTGCTGACTTTGTGACAATCCCTCTCAGGATTCGTGTCTTTAAAAAGCTTTTAAGAAAATAACAAGGTTTAGATTAGAAGTTATAAATGTATTAGCGTAATGAAATCATTAATATTTAAATGGTGTAGATAGGATGTTGGAATTGTTAGCCTTGTTCATTTTAATACAGTATGAAATGCATTTATTCAACCTGAAAGTATAATGAAGTATCCGTGGAAACTGAGGTTCCACAATAAAGGCTTATGATGCCACCTGCTGACACACTGGAGTCATTGCATTACATTGAATTAATTTTTCATCCCATAATAAATTAAAGGAGACCTACTTCTTCCTCCGTTGTCTCTCCTTTAATCTTGAATGATAAATATCAACAACTGCAAGCTTCAGTGCTGAAAAACAAGAACATGTGCGACACAGTTCATAGGTTTTGTAATGTAAATGCTGGGATTCCCACTGTTGTTGTTTAGTTGTCAATAAAACAAAATGTAACCCACCACGAAGGACGTCTGAATCATCATCCACAAAGTCAATATCTTTCAAATCCCATTCTGCATAGTTGTCAAACTCCTTTAACAGAATGGACACGTAAGGGAAAATGCTATCAATATTAAACAGCAAATCAAACAACAGGAAGATTCATAGACCTTTTACATATGCCCAGAACTTGGAGGAAAGCATCCCTACAGTAAAGCATGGTGGTGGCAGCGTCATGCTGTGGTTAAGTTTTCCGGCAGTAGGAACTGGGAAACTAATCCGTGATGAGGGAAAGATTAATGATAACCTGCTCCATAGCACTTTTTTGTGTTTTAAACGCAAAAACAAAACAAATATAACACATTAAAAATTAACTCATGTAACTTGCCACTTAAGTACTTCATGAGCCACCTTTATCTTTTCCACACATACCTTTATTCTGTGCACTTTAGCGCTACCATGCATCCAAACACACAATCAGCTACAGGACAAATGTGTTCCCTCACCTCCATGAAGTCGGCTCTGGCAGGCATGTATCCAGCCATGTCGCGAGACAGCACCGAGTCAAATGTGGGCCGAGGGGGATCGTCGCTCGCTGTGGCATCACAGAAAATTTAGCAAGATAAAGCTTAAAAATGTAAAGATCAACAAAGAGCACCACCTCCAAATTTTGTGCATTTTATAAAATCAGACGCGTAACAACCGTCTGTCTCTACTTTGAATTTGTCAAATGATGCAAGAATAAGACGTTAAAATGCTTGTGGAGCAGTCAACACTGTGACAGATGGAGACCTGAAGCCCGCCAGGAAATGAGACACGATCCTCAGTCACCAACTGCTTCTGCCCAACTGTCGGGCCGGTGGCTTCAAATTTTATATGTTAAACTTTCTTCTAGATGCCCTAAAGGCCCATAACGAAACCTGGAATAATATTTAATAAAACTAAATAATAAATAATAATAAACAATCAAACTTAATCTAAACACTTTTTAATAATGAAGTAAACATTGTGGGTCCTTACGTTTAAAAGGAATAGCGCCCTCTGCAACACGAGAGTCTTTTGCTTTCCGCAGGCTGAGCAGGGTGGAGGAGAAGAGTGGGTTATTGATGAAATTCTTCATGTAGTGGCTCTCACACTCCTCTTTGGTTTTAGTGCGCATCTGATACGCAACATCTTGCCTGATGAAGACAAGCAGGGAGAAGGAACAGATCAAAAATAACTGGAGGCTTTCATATGATACTTTTAGCCAACTAAGGCTATAGTTATGGCACTGTATGGTTCAAACACCTTTTTATGGGAGAAAAAAAATGTTCTTCATTAGAAACTTCAACCATGTCCTAAAACCTAATCTCTGTTTTCAAGACATCACCAAATCAAACATTTGAGTTTCAATCACCAGGCGTCTAAGTCAAACAATTAATATTTAACTTGTGAGCAAGCAAAACAGTTTGTGAATGCAGTGGTGCAGAGTGGTGACTACAACTCAAGAGTTTCAACCTCCAGGCTATGAAACTCAGTGTGCTCAAAAAAGAGCAGGAATTATAGGAAGAGGTCTGCTTGGCATAATTAGAAGAATTGAACTGATTTGTTTCACTCATTTACTTATGAATTACATTTTCTGTGAAAAACAGCAACTTCTTTATCATCAGAGTTTGAAAGCTGTGCAGAAACAGGAGGAAAAAAAATGGATTTGCAAGATACATGGATATGAACCTACAATGCATTACACAAAAAACAACTATACAGTTCATCTACACCTTAATCTATTCATCAGCTGGCACATCGCTACCCTCTGGGAGAAGAACGCCATCTCCTGATATTCTAGTTTTTCTACTAGTGAGCTTGAGTTCAAACATGGGTGACTGCACTGTGACCCTTGTTCAGCCTTTCCTCCCTCGTGTTTTTCTCTCCCTGTGCATGAAAGCGTGGAAGGGTTTTAACAGCTTCGAGCTGATGGGCAACTTGAGCTGTAGCAACCGTTAACAGACAGTTAACTCTACATGGGTCAACATTATAGCACTAGCCTGGAGCCAGCTCTATAATTGATAGTTTTAATTATTATTTCATTTTAATTATAATTATAAATTATAGTTTTATAATTTATAGTTTTATAACAACTAATAAAGGCCTGTGCTACAGTACTGTTTGGCCAATTCATGATGTTGAGAAACTGCTAAACTTAATCACACTGAGAAAAGTAGATCATAAAATCAAATATGGCAACATCTCCAAATTGTGACCCTTACAGTAACAATGTTACATCATTTGAGTTAAGCTTACGGTATTTCAAGATTATATTAAACATTTAATGATGGATAAAAAACTGTTTAAATGTACTTAAGCAAATGGGATTTGAAGCCATAAATATGCAACTATTATGAAAAGTTATGTTCTAAAATCCTCATTTACTATACGGGAGTGCACTTCGTTGAACAAAACCTTGCATACCAGTTTTTATTTAAACACAGAAGAGGGGTGGACTGTGTCAGACTGACAGGTGTAGTAATACAATAGTAGACAGTGGGCCATTAACCATACATAGATGTAGATACATTTTGCTCTATATAAATATACAATCAGTCCAATATTTATTTCCTATTTATTTACAAAAATAACATCCCATCCCAACATTTCTTTAAAACTTTTCTCAGTTTGATTAAGTACATCAGCCAGTCAACAGCATAAACAGGCCAACATGTACTGTCTGTTTTTAGGTGATTCCTAGGCAACATAACATTGTAATATCAGATATAGATAAGAACTTTAAGGTTTCTAAGTCACACCTATGTGCCAAGTTTGCTTGCTTAACTCCTGACTGTGTAGAAGTTTGCAGACAAAGAAGCAAACAAGAGAAATTCTCTGCAACATTTCGTTCACTTGTTATCTTTGTTACTGTCGGTAACAGATGTTTAGAGATTTTTTTTATGCACAATGATCTGAAAAATTAGCTTAAAGAGATGCAATTGCCATTAAATGAAACATTTATGTTGGAAAATAAGTTAGTGGTTATTTTTGCTGCCTGAGAGCAAGTAGAAGCTGTGTTCGAAGCCACAGGCCAAATAAGACACAATACTAGATACTCTGGCTTCCTCCTAAAGTCCAGAGACTGCTTTTTAGGTTAACTTGTTCTAAAGTGACAGTAGATGAATGTGAGTGTGCACAGTTATCTGTCTCTGTGTTAGTCCTGCGACAGACCAATAACCTGTTTAGCTTGTACCCCACCTCTGGAAACAGGACTGCATGCCATAAATCTTAGCATTCAAAGCTTTTTAAGAAATAAGGACATGTGTATGTAGTTTATAAGGAAATCTCACCAAACAACTAGAAAATACTAACCAATTTCCAAAGCCACAGTCCATGACGGCTTCAAGCAGGGCCATCTCTTCCTGGGCTGTCCACCCAGGCTCCAGCACGGGGAAATCTGACGTCTGCATAACGGGGTGAAAGATGAACATTGATGTTGAAAGACAGCCACACTGGATAAGATTTTATTTGTTTGTTTTTTATTTCACTTACCATGATTTCATATTTGTGATCACTCTGGTGCTTCTTGTACTCAAATCCTCTGGTGAAGCACTGAAGGGAAACAAAATGTTTAGTTTCAGTCGGACTGGGTTTGTCTGCAGGTAAATTTAACAGTTTTTGTGACCGATTCACCTGGAGGCACAGCAGGAAAGATGAGGGTCCACATTCTGCACATTTGATATAAGGCTCAGTCAGATACGATGAACAACCTCTGCACGGCGGTTTATCGGAGGGGTCATCTGAAATCACGTGATTTTAACACTTTAAGTCATCAGGTAGGGTTGTATAAGAAATCAGCTGACATTTCTTTACATGAAACAAGCTTACAATGTAAACAAGACTGCAGATTTCAATTTATTAGGCTTTACAGCGAGCTTTAAGCTAAACCACACATGCTAACTTTAAAGCGCCATGTATGATAATGTTTCATCACCGTTTGAAAAGCAGCTCAATAACAAAAGGCACTAAAATGCTGTTAAAGTAGTTAACACGCCGTGTTAGCATCGCTGCACGCTAACGCTAATGTTAGCATAGCAGACTCAGCTTAATATAGCTAACCTGAGATAATAACCCCAAAAATGATAGACGATAACACTTTAAAGCTGAAGTGGATACGTGTATCTGTGACATATTACTAAAACTTACTTGCAAAAGATGCTAGGCGGTCCATAGGATTACGTTTAAATGAAACTTAATAACAGCTTCGACGTTTAGGTTCCATCTATTTTTCAAAGCTCGCAAGTGACCCTGATTGTGAAGGCACAGCTAATCGAGCTCAGATAACTCAATACTCCCCTTAGATATTTTCTATAAGGAGGATCGATAACTAACTAAGAAATGTAATACATGTAAAATATTTGGTATTTATATTACGGCTAGATATATAGAGATTAATAATAATCCCACACTGGGCAAATATACTTGCTACAGCAGCACAAGGGTCAGAGACAAAAATGTGAAGTAATTATATATTAGAAAACAATAAAAACAGAAAATAAAACAAGACTTACAAAAAAGCTAATACTTTCAAAATGCAAAAATCAATAAAATACAAGACTAAAACATTTTTGTAGAAAATGTACTATATACACACACACTAATATACACTAAAAGCCACACCACAGAGATTAAAAAACAAAACAAAATATATGTATAAAAAGTGCAGTGGGCATGATAATACATACACAAAAATGGTGGGCCGTCCTACACTGCGGCTAGAGGACTGGCCATGACAAAGCTGGCCCTCTTCATTAGAGTATTAAGTTGTTTCTGGTTCCTCTCCATGCTGCCACCTCCCCAGCAGAAAACTGTATAAAAAATTGCAATAGACCTCACCAGGTCATAAAAAGTCCTCAGTAATGTCCTGCACAATCCAAAAGACCCAGAAGCCAACTTTGACCCTTCTTGTACATAGCCTTGGACCAGTAATCAAACCACTCCAATCTACTTTTAAGGTGAACCCCCAGATATTTGTAACTGTCTGCCACCCTGATGTCCAAACCATGGATGTTCACTGGTATGATAGGTGTTGGTTTTCTCCAGAAGTCAACCACCATCTCCGTTGTCTTACCGGTGTTAATGTGCAGGTGATATACAACCACTTTAAGCTAGAGGTAGAGTGAAATGGAGGCAGATGATCTGCTGTGGTGACCCCTAAATAAAAGGAACAGCTGAAAAAAGAAGACTGATATATATTTATATAATCATGTTAATTAGTTTAATTTTAATGTCACTTCGCCATTTATTATTTTATTTTCTTTGCAATGACCTACCAAAACTTACAATTACGATTATATTGTACTATATTTATTTTTGTATGTTTTTTTTTTTTTTCATATTTCTTGTGTTTCAGCATTTCAGCTTCAGTATTCAAAGGCGCTGTCTGCTGTCTGGGTTGACCTTTCACCTGGCTGGCTCACAACACAACTATTAAAAAGGAAATCAAAATACATAAATAAACACATAAATATAACAATTATTAAATGTAGGAAAGGAAATTTAAACAAGAATATAAATAAATAGTTGAAATAATAATAATAATAATAATAATAATAATAATAATAATAATAATAATAATAATAAATGGTACAGGTAGAGACAAATTAAAGGTGAAATTTCTGTTAATGTTGCTGACAGCTCTTTATTGTTGTTTTTGCCATACATGTACAACAGTCCAAGAATAGTATGGAGTATAATAGCTAATAATATCATATAAAATATAAAATCAAAACATTTCACAGACACATGGAGATGATCTGTTTCACTTTTAATCTCTCACTTCTCTCACTGCAGTTTAGTGACATAGCCCCAGACCTAGTCCCAGTGAAAAGCGCCTTTATTAAAAATGATATTAAATAAAATTACAGCATGTTAGCAGGCTGGACTTCTTCTGAAAGGACCCCGTTTAGAAAAATTAAATAGTGTATGTATGTGATCTTTATTATTTTCGCCACTCTTCTGTCATTCTCCATCTTACCACAGGGTGCCGATCTTGGACTATTTCTCTAATGAAAACAATAAATGTCGTGCAAGTCTTTGTCTGCCTTTCTGTACACAGCACCACCTGAGCTTCATATAAGCAGCGTATATTATGCTGAATAATGGAAAGAAAGATCATAGATGTGGAACCTTATACGCAACATCCCCATGCTGTTTTTTCTTGTCCCCCATAAAATTCTTCTACAAGTACTACTTGCCCTGAAAATGACTTTAAAACAGCTCATTCTGATGCAATAAATAGCTATGACTCCAGATATTTTCCAGGGTCTGTATCCAGCATTGGCCCCCTGAATCAAATAAAACCCCAGCAACTTAAGGTCGCCCCCTGTGATTGCACGCTAAGGGACCTAGCAAAGCAAATATCTGAACATTGATGTGTAAAACTGCAACCTTGCATGCATCAAAACCACTTAAAGTATGAAAAAAAAAAGAAATATTTTTGTGATTTGAGTAAAAGGACCCTCTGATTCAGTCCAGATGTGATGGAAGTAGCTCGGTAAAAAGAGGGCAGGCACTGGTGTAATGGTGTTAAACTAGGCCTATTGCTTTACACCTTAATTGCCACTCATGATATTTACAAAGAAATGTAATCCATTTCACATTTTCATAGTTTTCTGCTTGATTTCAAAAGATATAATGGTGTGCTTTATATAATTTGCTAAAGCCCAAAATTCATAAACAGGCTCTAATGTGGCTGTGAACGTGCACATTGGGTTAAATCTGTGTACTCTGCTTTCCTCCTGTTAGCCTGCGCTATGTCCATGAGGACGATCCGCAGTGACAAGTGCGTTCAGTTGCAGCATACTCTGCGTCCCATCTCCTGACCCTCTGGGGCTGCACCAGACCTCTGGGGAGAGACTCAGACAGCACAAGAGCCCAGAGCAATGCAGATCCACTGGTAATGACAAAGTGGCTATCCGACAGACTGTGCATAATAGAGGGACAGTTGCACTCTCCCCCTCATTGGAATTTCCAGCTTCCTGCCAGAGCAGAGTTTATTTAACAGTCCTGTGAGAACGTTATGATTTATTTATCTTTGAAAGAGGAACTCTTCATTTCTGGGTGACAGTTTGGAGTACAAATGGAGTATGGATGTGTGTAAACTCATAACGGCCACCTTTAAAAAGTGAACCTTTTCTTCCTGCTGGAAGTACACTATCTGATCAAATGTTTTATGTGCATACAAACACAAATCTCACATTAAACAAAGTACAATGAGATTAGTGCGTGTACATAAGTGAAATTTACAAGGCAAAAGATCAGTCTGAGAACGTTTTTTCACCTCTGTGATTTGTGTGACATCAGTGATATGGATGTCCTTGAGCATTTTTACAATCACCCTATGATTCGGTAGCTTGTCGAAGCAGCTTTAGCAACAACAAGTTGAAGTGATTGTTTTCTGTATGACTTTATCAGTGGAGGAACTCTGGCTCACTCTTCTTCACAAAGTTCCTGGAGTTCATTGTTGTTTGTGAGCATTCGGTTACACGTAGCTCTCTTAAGGTCCCACCACACTGCAATCAGGTTGAGGTCTGATTATTTTCTTTCTTCAGACATTCTGCTGTAGATTTGCTGCTGTGCTTGGGATCATTGTCCTGTTACATGATATAATTTCAGCCAACCTTTAGCTGTCACGCAGATGGCCTCACATTTGACTCTAGCATACTAAGGTATACAGAGGAGTTCATGGTCGACTCAATGATTGCAAGGTTCGTTGGCTATAAAACAAGCTCATATTAGCACCCTTCCACAACTGTGCTTGATAGTTGGTATTAGACGGTTGTTCCAATATGCTGTGTTTTGATTTGCCAAATATGATGCTGTGCAGTGTGATGAATGTCTCCACTTTGGTCTCATCTGTTCAAAGGATATTGTTCCAGAAGTACTATGGTTTGTTCAGATGCAACTTTGTTCCTGAAATGTTCTTTTTACAGAGAAGAGGCTTTCTCTTGGCAGTCCTTTCAAACAAGCAAACAAGCAATTTAACATTTGACATCTTGACAAAGGCTCAGATGGAGTTCTTGGATTGGAAGTTGCTGAGATGTCCACTCCTTAGGAAGATTGTAGAACTGTGATAACATAAACCTGAATGCTCCAGATGAGGAAACTGAAAAACTTCTGCTTTTATAGAGGTGCTCACACTTGCTAATGATCAGTTAATTAAGTGCATTTATTTGATTAAGCACCTGACTGCTACTTACTCGTAATTTCAATGGAAGCAGCAAGTGTCTGTGAAGGTTCTCAGTCATCCAGGTCATTGTAGTCAAAGGAGCTTGCAAAGAAAAGCGTCTGGACTTCTTTAAGTTACTTGAAGACGTTTCACCTCTCATCCGAGAAGCTTCTTCAGCAGCAAGTGAAGCAGCAAGTGTTCACTTGGTTTTCCTCAGTACTTCATATATTAAGGACATACTGTTCAAACCTTGAGGCAGGCTGCCTAAAAGGGAGAGGGCACCTTGTTTTTGTCAGAGGTTGAACTGAGAGGCTGGAACAGGGCCCAGTGTGTAATAAGGATTGTTTTGAAATGAGAATCATGCAAAGCTGCTTTTTGGATATAACATTTCAGAATTAGTAAAAATTATTATAAAAGAATTGCAGTCATTAAAAAGAAAACAATCGCAGAACTCCAGATAACATCAGGAAAATGAAAAAAATTTATATGGTAGGATCAGGAAGTACTATTGGAATATTTTCAAATTAGATTGTAGATCAGTTTTTCCTCTGTATGAGGTCAGCAACTGATGCTCATACTTCCCCCAAAAAGTATTGGATGGGGTTCAGGATGGTCAAGATCTTCCACAAAAATTAAAAGAAAAAGCTTGATAGACTTTTCCATAAAGATTTGCTCAAGGTATCTGAAATAAGACCCTTCACCTAACACTTCAAACTAATTTGTAGAAAATATGGTTGTCTAAATTATTATTGCATTATGTAGCATTGGTGGCAGAGTGACCCATCTACCAATTGGAAAGCTGGCGGTTTGACTACAGTATTCTAGAGTGAAAAGATCAACTCCTCTTAACTTCTCCAGTCTCCAGTCCAAGTATTCTTGGACAAGCAACTGAAGCTTGAGTTTCCCCCGAATGCATCTGTTGGAGTGTATGAATGTATGTGACTGGGTGAATAAAACATGCTTTGAGGGCTTTGAGTGCTCAACTGAGTAGAAAGGTGTATATAACTACCAGCAACTCAGGATCCCACAGATGGTAATGAATGCATAAAGATAAGAATATAAAAATATAAATATTCTGAAGCTGGCATTTCCTGCAGCCCAGTTTATGA